CAGTTCACTTTTGATGAGCAGCTCAGTTAGTTCCATGTTTTTGCCATTGTGAATAATGCTGCAATAAACATGCATGTGCAGGTATCTTTTTTTTTTGAGTTGGAGTCTCACTCTGTTGCCCAGACTGGAGTGCAGCGGCCACTCGATCTGCGGGGCTCCGGTGATCCTTCCGTCTCAGCCTTCTGAGTAGCCAGAATTACAGGCATAGGCTACCACGCCCGGCTGATTTTTTTGATTTATTGTAGAGATGAGGTCTCGCTGCCCAGGCGAGTCTCGAACCCACGGGCTCAGGCAATCCACTCACCTCAGCCTCCCAAAGCACGGGATTACAGGTTGAACCACCGAGCCCGGCTATTACACTTATTAAGAAAATAAATTTTCTTAAATAAATTAGATTTGAAACTTAGATTTTTCTTAAGTAAATCCAGTGTTTCTATTTATTCTCATCATATTTTGTTTCTGGCAGAAATGCATCCTATCAAGTTTTGGTGCCAAGCATACAATATTTACTAAATTGTGTTCTACTTTTATAAGAGATGTAACTTTGCAGTGTGCTTAGTATAACAAACAAACAATACTAATGGGAACAGAAAGGACTTAAAGGTTGTTCCAGCCTGGGTTGTCATTCATCCTGTCACACCTCCCCCATGGGCAATACTAAGTGATCATAAAGACTGTTTAAGTTGCAGGATTCACTTTTTTTTTTTTTTTGAGAAAGCCAGGATTTATTGAGAGGACAGAAAAGCTCCCACAGTGGGAGGGGACCTGAAGGGGTTGCCCCTGGATTCACATTTTGAATTGTCCTAAAAGGAGATGGAATCAAACATAAATGTCTTCAGCTGCTGTCTGAAAATGCAGGTTTATTTCCAATTTTCTCCAAGTCTGTGTCTTTGAGTTAGAGAAATTCCCTAAACTAATGATTTAGGAGTGTTTTTGTTAGCAATTTCAATCTAAACAGTGTAAATTAAAAAAAAAACCAAATAGCAGACAAGTATTTTAGTCTTTAATAAAAAATCAGTAGTTTTCTTGGGGTATATTATCAGTTAAGAGGAAGAAAAAGAAACTGCCAGTGGTAAATGTGGAACAGGTATACTCTCATAAGCTTGTGGTGCGATTATATACTAGTATAACCCTTTAAGACTGTGACTAGAAATATATCAACACACATTTTAACATGAAGCCTTCTTTTATGTTTATAACTCTTGACTCAGTTGGGAATCTTAAGCCCAAAGATATCCCTTATAGTTTATAATTCCAACTGCAAAAAGGTCCAATAAGTACATCTGACATACCAATTAATATTGTTTAGACCAATTTTTAGTAACTTAAATAACTGCAAACATCATTATAATGCTTTAAAAAGAAGAATCCCTGGTAGAGAATCAAAGATCATTTTTGTCTTTTCAATTGTAATTTTCAAATTTCTAAAATAAACATGCTATTTAAATAGGATATAGGCTGGGCACAGTGGCTGATGCCTATAATCCTAGTACTCTGGGAGGGTGAGGTGGGAGGGTCACCTGAGGCGGGAGGGTCACATGAGGCCAGGAGTTGCAACATATGAGACCATCTCTACAATAATTTTAAAAATTAGCTGGATTAATTTAAAAAATAGGCAAAATGTTAATCTCTAGGTGGTATACTTTTATACCACTCTTTAATACTTTTCTGTACTTCTCAGTTCTTATGAGCAGTTCTAACTAGAAAAAATACAACTTTCAAATAACTAAAATATGAAACACACAGTTAATACAGAAACTTACTTGGCAGCTTCGAAATCTGTACTGGAAAGGTTTCCTTGAGCAATTGTTTTTACTTGGTTATAGGCAGCCTTGATAACCTAGGACAGATAAATAAAAGTTGGTCAACTGGTCTCCTGCAACACTCAAATATTCCTCTACTGGTACAAAAACACCAGATAGAGGGTTAGTTCCAGAGAAACAGAACAGTGTTCATTTGAAATTCTGTAGTCACTTTATGTTCCTTAATCTCCCTGTGTTCTGTAAAGCAGCTGTTTATACAGCTTATAATTTCCAAGTAGCCAAGCTTCCTTTGAAAGTTAAGTGGCAGAGGGCAGAGGATGGATCTTCCGTTAGGGAGAGCAAACATATGGATTTATAATCATGTGTAAAAAACAAACACCTCTAAAATCTCCCAGACTCTTATAGTGTTATGCAATTAATACTGTTATCACTTACTATTCACTAAGAAGAAAGCAGTAATATATACATAGCCAAAGTGTAAGGCTTGTCTATACTTGTGATGCCTGAGTCAATAAGAAATCAAGTTTCAGTGATGCAGGTGCTTGGCAAATATTTGTTGAATAAATACCTTAATACATCTAGTCCATGGTTTTCTCCATTCCAGCCTTGGTGCCATTCTGAGATTTGCTACTTATCATTCCCTCTGACCACCTAAATTCCAGGACCTTCTTTTCCTATTCATTTTGGCTACCCATTTCCATAGCCATACCCCATACTGGAACAAAACCTACATTTGTTCTGAAACTTTCAATTCGAAGACCCCTGATCTCAGTCTTTAATATGCTATTCCTATTCTTCCACTTTATCAAGAATAAGTTCCTTCATTTGTCCATTTTCTTTCAGGCTTTTAGGCCCCTCTGGCTTCACTTCTCTGTCTAAACCCATGAACCACCCCTTTAATCACTCTTGCCAATGCTCCCAGCTCCCTTGCTATCTCCTCATACTTCTTACCTGCCCACTTGGCAGGATTCCAACCTGGGATTGCCCCTACCACCTGCCTCCTCCACTTCTCCATTAGGCTAGTTAATGTTACTGAAGAATAATTCTAAAACATCCCTGACTGTACTATGGATTCGTCGTTACTAATTTCAAGAAGATACCTACACTGCCACTGGTGCCCATTCTGTGTGTGTCTAGCCATTTATTTGCCCCAAACCTCATTATTTTCTTTAAATTTTCCTCCTGTCTCTCTCAAAACATGACTTAGCCTCCTACCTATCCAAGGATGTACTTCCTCATGTTCTCTTCGACATCTCCCAACATTAGCCTTTGTTTGCAAGGCTAACATGTCCACTTGTGCTCTAGATCCCACCTGCTCTTGCTTTTTCAGACTTGAGCCACTTATAATTTAACTATCTTCCCAATCTTTCTTTCAGTATGAATGATGTTTTTTCCAACTTATCTCAGTGTAAACTCTTCTAAAACTACCATCCTACTCTCTGCTAGTCTAAGCTCCACTAGCACACACTGGCCAAATATACCATGTTCTCTTCTATTTCTTACTGTTTTCCTAGCTGTTGTCTTTAGTCACTTGCTCCTTAAATAGTGGCGTTTCCTAGAACTCAAGCTTCAATTTTCTTTTCCTACAATCTCTTTTTTGAGTCAGAATCTCATTCTGTCGCCCAGGCTGGAGTGCAGTGGCACGCTCATGGCCACCACAGCCTCGACCTGCTGGGCTCAGGCGATCCTCCCGCTTCAGCCTTCCAAGTAGCTGGAAATTCAGGCACGCGTCACCACACCCAGCTAATTTTTTGATTTATTGTAGAAATGAGGTCTCGCCAAGTTGCCCAGGCTGATCTCAAACCCTTGGACCAGGCAATCCTCTCGCCTCAGCCTCTCACAGTGCTGGGATTACAGGTGTGAGCCACCGCGCCTGGCTTCCTACAATCTTTTATACATATTCCCGACTTCAACACAATCTTCATATTGAGAACTCACAAATACACATCTTGACCATGACCTCTCCTGGTTCTCAATTTAGATGTCTCAAAGCCAAATCAATGCAATGTGTCCAAGCAGAACCAAAACACCAAGATGGCATTTCCCTCCTCTTTCCTTAGTATACATTTTAAAGTTTCCTCACAGCAGAGACAGTTCGATGACATCACAATACCTAGAAGCTCTGATGAATCATGGCATTCAAACATTTCATATTTTAACTAAAAGTATGTTAATGTTGGGAAAAAACTCGTTTGTGAGAGTTGGTGAGTTTGCAACTTACATCTCCAGCAGCTGCAGCCTGTGAGACAGTATAAATCCCAAAGAGTCCAGAATCTGAGTAACAGGCATTAAATGCAGAAACCTGAAATACAATGAAACTTTATTGCATGATACTCTACCAGGTTAAAAGGGTACAGTTTCTTTAAGGCTGTTTAGACAAAAACTCGTACCTTCACAAAATAAACAAAATAGATGAATTAGAATGACTTCTCATTTTCCTTGTAGCTAGGTATTTTCTAACCTTCTTTTGATAATTACAAGTTAATGCAAACACTGATTTGCAAACATTATACAGATGGGTATTTGTGTTACACAGACCCTGATTTCTTCTGTTGTTGATGATTTTCACCAATTTGCTTTCAATTCTCTTACACACTAAAGTCAGAAAGGAGAAAAATTTCTGCTTAGGGACATTAGGTATCCAAGGTATCAAGAGTTTAGCTTCTGGATAATAGGGATATTGCTGTGTGTAGTCTGAGCAGAGTTTTACGCTCCTTAAGGTGAACTTGACTGCCTAGTATAGTGTTCTGTAGTGTATGCAGACCATTTACATAAAAATCACATAAGTTGTTATAAAAAACATACTTTCAGATTCCTGCAATAGATTTACCGACTCAGATGCCTGTGGACATGGCCTGGGAGCCCACATTTTTAACAAGAATATCAGGTGATTCTTAATGCACGTTAAACTTCAAGAATCCTTGGTTCAGTTCATGTAAAGCATAAGAAGAAATGCACTTCAATTACTTGGCGTTTAATTATAATTCTTAGACTCTGAGACTATTCTATTCATATTCCAAATTTCTGGTCAAGTTTTGAATTAGGAATTTCTATTAAATTATGTCACTGTATTAGAAATATACTCTTGCCATAGAAAACCACCAGTAACATTCAATGGTGAAAAGTGTAATATGAAGAAAACAGAACTGACAATGAACCAAGAGAAAGAAAACCTGGAGGAAATTTAAAAAGCAGTAGCTTAATTTAATTTAGAACAAATTTAAGACAATGGCTTTCAAACTGTACTTGAGGAAACCCTAAAGCTCTGCACAAAATATTCAAAGGGTTTTACAGCAAAGTAATCCTTCAAAATTCCTATAAATGCTAAAACTTTTATGTTGTGGATTGCAGTTGGGAAATCATATGGAAAAAAAAAAAGGCTCCTCTGCTAATAAATAAATAAATAAATAAAAAGCTTAAGAACTACCACTCACACATTAAGTAGAGGAATAAAAACTGAAGAAGACTGATTTACATTTTTTCTGTTAAGTGTCAAATATTTGGTCAAACACTTACTGAAGCATAAACCTACCTTTGTCATGTACTGTAACAGCTGTAATTATGAACAATTGCTCAAGCCTATGATTTAGTACATTTGTTATCTTTCTTTTTTTTTTTTCTGAGTTGGAGTCTCATTCTGTTGCTCAGGCTGGAATGCAGTGGCACACTCAAGGCCACACCAGTGTCAACCTGCTGGGCTCTGGCAACCGTTCTGCCTCAGAAGGATTCCAAGTAGCCGGAACCACAGACATGTGCTACCACGCCCGGCTAATTTTTGATTTATTGTAGAGACCGAGTTGCCTGGGCTGATCTTGAACCTGTGGGCTCAGGCAATTCACTTGTCTCAGCCTCCTCAAGTGCTGGGATTACAGGCTGAGCCACCACGCCCAGCCCATTTGTTATCTTTCAAAAGCTATTATTGAAGGTCACATAGGATATTACATTAGGCAAACAATGTTCACTTGTGAACTAATACCTTTTTGGTTCACATTTTACATTCTCCAGATTCAAATGTCATTTTGAAAGCAACATTTGAATCTGGAGAATGTAAAATGCGAACCAAAGAGGCTGAGGTGAGTGGATTGCCTGAGCCCATGGGTTCAAGACCCACCTGGGCAGGCGAGACCTCATCTCTACAATAAAATTAAAAAAAAATTAGCCGGGCGTGGTAGCCTGCGCCTGTAATTCCGGCTACTTGGAAGGCTGAGGCGGAAGGATCGC